CTTTACGACCATTTTATATACCTAATAGTACCTAAAAGAGCTCTATATATCTTAATAGAGTTTCCTAAAACTCATCATCATCAACCTTCAAAACTCGTTATGATGTCGCTTGGTAGTTATTATCAGCAATTACAATCATATTATTTTGTTACAATTAAATTTAATTCATTTTGTAATAGTATTTTTTGTTAAATAATATAGATTCAGAATTTTTTTACAAATGATTAGATTAGTACGTTATATCTTATGTATCTACATATGTATATGTATATTATGGATACGAGTAAGTACCATTCAAGTATTACGTAAGTATATTTTTAAGAATTTTAGACTCGCTCCTCCTATGTGTAAGCAAAAATAAGAAAATCACAAGCCACCTCCCTCGAAGACGTTTTTTTAGTCTATACGCTTATTTACAGTTTAAAATTTTATCAAATAACTCTTAAGCCTCCATAAAATATTTTTTATTTAACCTGAAAGAAAAAAACAGATGATAGACAGTGTCCATAAATGACAATATGTATTATAATCAAGCCTTCAAGCTATGCATGAAAGTGTAGAGTTATGTTAATTTTCGGAATAATTGTTCATATATCTAATATAAGCGGAAATAAAAATAATGTAATAAAATTATGGCAAAAATAGTAATATTCATTTACATTATCTATACATATAATAAAAGTGTAATGGATCGCTGTCTGTACATGGAAGATATTTGAGAAAAACTATCATTGGGGGTCTTTATTTACGCAATAGAACCCAAAACAATGATTTTTAGAATTTTTGTGTTTGTCGGTTATTTGTTTGTCTGTGCGTTTGTGCACGCTAATCTCAGAAACTTAACCGATTTGGATGCGGTTTTCACTTATATATTGTGGTAAGCTTCATTTAACATTGAATATTTGTTTTAATTTAATCGGTTTATAAATAAAAAAGTTACGTCAATTTAAAGAACCACCTAGAGAGGAACCCAAGCGGAGCGAGACTCTCTAGTAATTAATATTATTTTGAAAATATTTTTATTACTTTAGATATTTTTTTATTACCCAAGATTTTTAATATACCCCTCTATCTATGTCAGCAAAAGTTACAAAATATTGGACCTCCCGCCCCCTCAGCCTGCTAAGGTAATACTTTAAAATAAATGGGTATGATTTAATTTTTACAGAATGCATAATACAAATAAACATATATTAATATCTAATTGAAATTACCTAACATTTTAACAATGTTTAAAAAAATATCGCATAAGCTATAGTTATTACTTTTATTTAAAAAAAAAACATAAAAGTGAAAATCTATACATATAAAAAATTGTAACTGATCAGGATCTGTACATTAAATATTTTTTTGGAAAATCCTATTGAAATAGACATTATTATCGATACACAGGTCGAATCTATACTTTTTAGAATTTTTGTCTGTCTGTCTGTTACCGCATCACAGAAAAACCACTGGACGAATTTTGATGAAATTTGGTATGGTGATAGCTGGTTATCCGGGTCAACATATAGAATACTTTTTACCGCGGGAAAATATCTCATTTCTGAGAAAAAATACAAAAACTGCATTGTAAGAGTATACTAATATGTAAAACCTAAGAATTTGCTTTTTGATCATCTGAACGCGGGCGGAGTTGCGGGCAATGCTAGTCAATAAATATATACTTATATTTCAATTTATCTGTGTAATTATTTCAAGAGACGTTTAATCCTATTATTATTATTAAACAGGAAACTCCCATATTTGTAGTCCAATTATATTTTATTATCTATTTACAATGATATATTGTAATTATTATGAAGGCCATATAGTAACTTATATTATATCCGGAAACCATGCAAGTGTTTTTCAATGTTTTAGCTTTAATCCAAGAGAGGTATGAAAGCGAAATTGGCCATGAATTCAGATTATTCAATTAAGAACATGACATACAACCTACTTTTTGTACGCAAATCATATTACTTAATACTATTTCAGAATTCTTACAAATACTATTTTAATAACGCGATTAGGGATATGAAAAACTTTTGCACTTGGTATTATTTTATTTAGAATTAGCTACAGTTTCTCCCTTAACGCAGGTTTCAACGATTCCTCACACGTCGTTTAGTAACTTTGAAATTAACTATCCAATACCAAGGCAATTCCCACAGGAACTACTAATTGATTTTACTGGATGAAAAGCCTAGCTCTTGAGTCCATAGACTTTGTACATAACATATAATACATATATGGTATAACCAAGCTCAATTTTACTTTTTCTTAACAAAAAAAGCTGAATTAAAATTATACTTGAATATATATACACAAAATTCATTAAGTGCCATATAATAAATATTGTACAAGTAATGTACGCAAAGAATAGTGGCAAGAATGCTAGCTATAATAACTCGACTTCTTGAGTGAAAAAAAAGTCAGCCCACTTGTCACCAGTAGAGCGATAATAGCGAGATCTTATATCTTTTAAGAAATACTTAGCACTTACAAGTAGATTTATTTTTGCTGAACCAAATGCAACTTAATATTCATATAACATACTGAAAATGTGTCATTAAAATCATATATATATATATATATATATATATATATATATATATATATATATATATATATATAAATAAAGTACTGATTGTAAGCCTAAATAGAATCTAGCCTAGTTTCTTCGTATGGCGATTTTCCGTTTTAAAATAAATTCATTAATAAGAGTATTTTGTATGGCAATAACTTGAAAGTGAACTAAAACACCAATGGTTCGGTAGCATTCTTAAGATTTATAAACATTTTAAAGGACGCTTGTGTTAAAAGATAGTAGGTTACAATACAATAAGTAATAATTTTATAACAAAACATCACATTTCCTGGATATAATATAATTGTTAGAGAAACATTGTAATATGTATATTTTTAATTATTAAAAATTAGGTTAAAATAAGCTTTTTTATTCTTAGTATTAGTGATCTTTGTGACCGTCATTGAAAATTATAATAATTTAATACTAAACATTTTTTTAGTTGAATTCATCCTATATTAATACATACAAACACCTATATGTATACATAGTTTTAATATAAAAAATATTATTGATGATAAATCGTTTTATGGTATTATTCAAATCGGAAAAAGCATTTACATACGACCAAAATAAGGTTACGTTTTATAGATAGTTACATCCGAATAGCCCTATGAAAATGTTACGCCCTACAATATCCCTTAAAATAAGAATACCTAAGCAGTAAAACGTTTTCAACAATCATGATAATAAATTATTGTTATCTTTTAAAACTTCTTATTCTCTTTACACTGTTAAAAATAACGACTAAAATATGTCATACTGGCGACTTACCCTCACTTCGCTCGGGTGCGTCCCTATTGCGTAAGTTTTAATTTTTTTGAGCGGAACTCTAATTCTTTTTCTGAAATAAAAGTAGCCTAAGGTACTCCGTATAATATCAGCTATCTGCCAGTGAAAGTCCCGTCAAAATCAGTCCAGCCGTTTTGGAGGTAAGCCAAAACAAACAGACAGACAGACAAAAAAATTTAAAACTTGTATTTTTCTTATAAACACCATATATATTTTCATATGTATTAAGTAAAAAGCTGTTATGTTGATATTACAAATAGACACTTCAATTTTGTTTATTTGTATAGATTAAAGGACTTTACACGTACGGTAAAATTATGATAAATTATTGAATAAAACCGCCCACAGGCGCTATTAACATATTTTTTGTATTTCATTTCATAGTCCATTAATTACTGTCCAATCGCATATCCAATCAATATTTCAACTCTGAGGTCACAGAATAAAATTCCGAGTCGAAGAAAAAAAGGCGGAATAGGCCATCGCCATATCCATATACGGAGAAAACAATCAGAAAGTCGAAATGCCTGACCCGAGTGCGGTATGCGATAAACATACATATTTATATCAAACAAGTTAGAGAAATCGTGTGGTCTTTGAGTGGTGACCGTTTGACCTTGACATTTGTAAGGCAGGTGGAACATCCGCCTGAGCCTTTATACCAGTATTTTCTTTTTTCTATCAGCTTAACTATTGAAGTAAAAGGTCACAGTATATGAAAACCATTCAAGAACTTATTTTTTTGTATTTTAATTTTAATTATAAAACGTTTACTCTGTAACATCAAACTTACATTAAAGATAATTTAAGCTGTCTCTTCACAATTTTCTCGAGTTAGTCTTTGTTTCGTTATTAAATTGCTACAATTAATTTAAATTTATAAATGCGGTAGCGTATTTATTTTCATCACGAGGTCCGATGTTTATATTTATTATTTTGTGAAAATTTAACTCCTTAGTAGAATATTCACGTAAATTATAATTATAATTTCAAGAGCAAATATAATTAAACATAAACATAGTAATTAGTTCTCATACAATTATATTTTCTAAGTTATTTACAGAAACACAAAACATGAAGCAGAAAATTAAACGTATAAAGTCGAGAACTCTAATATCTAATTATAACTTCTAATGTTACATAATAAAATACCTCTGTCGTAGTCTTAGCTCCAAGTGTATAATTTTATTACTTTATTTTCCTCTCAATAAGGCCGCAATGGCCTCCGCTATCCCTTTCACTTGTATCATAATAATATACATATATATTAGAAATCAGGAAGAGTCATACACAAAGTCAAATATAACAAAATATCCATAAACAAACATAAGTTTTAAAAAAACTTTTTGGAGCTAGACTTACAAGTTTCTACTGAAGTATACTTTTATTTAACTTTATGCTCTTATATTTCAGAAGTATAATATTTAATCAATTAGCGGTAGGTACCTACTTAGATTATCAACAAAATCTTATATGGATTTAATATTTTAAAATCAAAATTTAATAGAAGACCAAAACTTTTAAAACGAAGTCACTTTTATGTTAGAGATTCATGGGAGAATTATGTGCAAAGTAACAATATTTATCACTCGAATGTCAAAAGTTTTAAGTGTATGTTAAAATTAAGATTTCTTACCTTGTATATTCCATCTACGAGTTTGGTGAGCTCTTCTGTCTCCATGGCGAATGAGTTTTAGTAAATCAATTACAAAAACAGCGAAAAGTTACACTTGGTAATTCATCAGGCCAAAGTTTTCACACGAAAAACGATTTAAACATCATCAACACAAAATTCACATTTCAATACACCAAAATCCAAGATTTGACTTTACTCACTACACTTAATATAACACTACTGACGACATCTGGAACAAGAAAAAACGTATTATAACAAACATTATAATTCAAGTAAAATTAAAGTCCATATTTTTATAAAGACAATGAAAAATAAGTATATTTTATTGTTCACTATATAATAATTAAAATATCACTACATTTTAATTTGCATTAAAAAAAATTGATATTAAAATAATCATAGTGCGAAATTGTTAACTTAGTTTCACACCTGTTTTCGATTAATATCGCAACGTGCGTCTACCGCGGAGGAAGCGAGTGGAGTCACTATCGCTCGGCTCGTAGGTATCTCTGCGAAGTGTTTGGTAACACAGTGACTGGAAATGGACCGTTGATGTCTAAACCTTTGTACTGTTAGGTACTTGATTGTTTAGATCTATTGGTATTTAGGCTACTAATTTCGCCATCTTTAGATTAACGGCACACATCTGCTTTTTCCATACTAGGCGTCAATATTTTTCTTTATTTCACCGTTATATTGATAGAGCAAGCAGAACTAAAAGCATTTTTGCACAACAATGTAGTTATTAACATAAATTGTTTGTGCAAATAGCTTTTGGCGTAGTTATTATGTGTATTATTTGTTAATACTAGAAAATTATAAACAAAACATGAAATTGTACAAACTGTAACGCACAGAAAACATTCGTGAGTTGCAACGTCGTGACGTAAAATATTATTAAGCTCGTTACGAAATATTGTCAATGCCACAAGAGTAATTGGCTACATAAATGTTATCGAGCAATTTGCGGCAAGTGTTACCAACGCCGAAATTATATGGACGAAATAGATATTGATAGCTTTTACATATTATATAAACTATACCATTGAAGTAAAAATACGTTGGCGAAGATGTTACCATACTCGAATGTCAACATATTTCACTGCAGCTTTCTAAATTTGCGCAATTTGTATTTATTTAACGCAAATTCCTTTAAAACTGCCTAACTAAATGTACGATGTTGGTGTAAAATTTACATAATCTCGCGAGCGATGCACTTGGTTGATGCTAATCGTATGCATAGCTCGTCTCGACGCCTTAGTTCATTAAATACGAATAATAATTCTCATCCAATGTTTGGTAAGACTGAATTAGTTATAAACTTGTTGCTTAATTAAAGTCTCCTGTGTAAAGCTCAATTCCGGCAAACATTATCTAAGTTGTTTGAGTTGTACCAACGATATGAATATTTATTTTTTGGTCGACTTCAAAAATTAAAAATACTTACTTGGGCTTATTTTCATATAATTTCATATAATTTTCAAGACAATGGACTATCATTTTACATACATAAAGTAGGTACGTATCATATAAGTTAGATGTGATTATCATTTTATAAATATGAATAAATTACATTATAAATAATTTATAATATATTTAATACTACATTTACTTGATAATAATATTATATATCTATAATATATGATATTTTAGTTAAATACCTTTTGTTTAATCTAAAACAACTTTATAAATGCTAATGATAATAGAATTGCATATCCCTTATATAAGCAAGCAACTGGACTTTAACGTTTAAAAGATATAGGTCACAGTTACAATTTCAAATACTATTTTGTAAAATTATTCAAAACAAATAAAAATGAATGTTTGTATGTTTGTCCTCTATACGTTCCTAAGCCTGATACGCCTGCGAAGGTTTCTTGCGCAAAAAAAAAGAAAGTTTTCTTTGGACGTTTGTCTTTTTTACGTCCCTAAACCATTTAAGCTTAAGGACGCAGCCAAGCGAGAATAAATCGCTAGTTCAAAATAAAATCTTGTTAATAAAATCTCCACACAGATTTTAAACACTTTTCCGTAAATCATACAACACAGAATATAAAACACAATCTCAGCGAATTCCTAACTCTATTTTGAACTAGTGAGATTTGCGTCGCTATAATCCCTCTATACCTTACATGTGCATTGTGCATCCACACGGGACAATACTGGATGAGCCTTACAATTACTTCTTTCTGTCTTCTCAAAGCGTAAAAATACAAGTATTCGACTACTTGCTTCAATTTCAACTTGTTTAGCCCGGATTGAACTTACTTTATCCAAATTTATACTAAGCTGTCGTAAGTAACAACACGGATTTCCAAAGTGAAAATCGAACTAGTTTCTCAATCTATGAAGCCTCATAATATTTTGTAGCCAAAGCCAAATTGTTTCAAAGTGTCTGTTCACTTTAAAAGTTTAAAAGTTTTCAATCTCGATTGTCTTTTCAGTTGGAACAATTTGATTTTCATATCAGGGTTTATACGACAGTTTTGTAGTTGCTTGCCAAACGTCCTAGGGTCGTGTAGTGCGAGTTAGCGCAAAATGCATAGAGCCGACGGTGTCGGCATGACGTTGTTCTGCTGACGAATCTTGTTAGTGTGAATGCAATATAAGACTACACACTGTAACTGTATATCCATATTCACATTCTAACTTAAATTTGATGCTACTTAGGTACAGTGAATTTTTCTTTTGTTCCAATTGTAAATGTATATCTTATATACCTATACATGTTATAATATAATTTCAATCACGATACTCTAAAATAAAAGAAGAAAAAAACCCGTAAAATGGAATATCCCCAATAGCTCATCAATAAGTTAAAAGGTAATATATATATATATATATATATATATATATATATATATATTATATATTGTGTGTGGAAATAAATTCGGTGTTATTTTTATTCCTACATATGATAAGCTGCAGGCATAAGCTATGAGTATATCTTGACAAATTAATTGATATTCAAATTATAGGTATTACAATTGGGTTAGTACTGACAGAAAAATCAATATAAGGCAGACTACACACGAGCTACGACGTTGTCCGACAGTGTGACAGTCTGCGCGGTGGGAATCCGTCATCTGTCAACCACACTTGTGGACTTACCACTAATGAGATTCCGATACACTCATGGGAAATATCCTGTAGTGTACTTGTGCATAATCCGTCATCAGAATGATGGGAGTTTGTTTCAATCATTCATTGAATTGATCGATACTGTTTGCTCTTTTATCCTTTTAACAATTACTACTTAATATGATTATCCTCAAAACATAAAATACTTTTGTTTATTGGAAAAATAATGATATTTGTTGTGCCACAATGAAACTGTAGATTTTAAAATTACTTCATAAGTGGCAATGCAAAGACCGATTCATAGTTTATAATAGGTATATTTTATATGGAATTTTGTATAATTATAATATTACAAAAGGAAAAATACGATATCATAAAAAATTTACTCTCACACTAAATTGTCTCGGATAGTTCGGTCAACAAAACCCAATTGCATTTTACCAAAATCTGAATGAGCACTCACTACCGCGCCTCTATTGAACACTTTAATCTGTGTAGGGGGAGACCTTTCATATTACTTGCCACAGATTGCTAGATTGCGTGCGTGCTAGTGACAATCATAATCGTATAGGTTTGAACCTTTACTATGTTTTTATTCCGAACTCTAACACATTTGACGATACGTTTGGCTCAGTGTGTAGTAACCCTACTTGCTTTGCCAGCGGTTGCGGGTTCGAATCCCGCTGGGAGCATTCATTTGTGTGATGAGCACGAATGTTTGTACTCCAGTCATGGGTGTTTATATTTATAATATGTATGTATTTAAAGTTATATATATATATATATATATATATATATATATATATATATATATATATAACTTTAAATACATACATATTATAAATATAAACTAAAAATCAACTATCTGGTATCCATAACACAAGCTTCGTAGCTTACCATGGAACTAGATGGTGCTGTGTGTTAATGTCCCAACATATTTATTTATTTTCAACACTTGAGGTACCAAAATTAAATCTATCACACTCTCCAACTCGTTGTCCAACCCAATGCAAAAACTGATAAGCAATGGTACAGTGGACTCTATTAGTAAAGCGCTCGCTTTAAAAATAAAGAAGCTGGTTCAAGCACCGATTCTCGCACCTTGGTGATTTTCATCATAATTACCACTTGCTAATACTCACTGTATTAGTAACAAAACGTCGTGAGGAAACTTGCATTTACATATGTTTTGTCTTCACCAGACCGAGACAATTAGGTATATGTATGGTTAAAACATCCTTCCCAAGAACATTTCAGCCCTTAGGGCAAAATAAATCTAATTACAATAACGTTTACGAGTGATACTTCATTTATATATTAGATTGGTAACAATGATATCAATTTGTCTTAAAAAAACCGCACCGACTTAGAAAATATCTGATTAGATATCTATTCTAAATAAAAACCCCTGTTTAGTTATTTTTTACATTTTAGTGCCTGGAAGTCGGTTTTTATTTCTTTTTTAAAAATTTAATTTGTAAGAAGAAAGTTTTTAATAACATATTCGATTCAGCAATTTATTTAAAAACTAAAAATTGTTGATTTTTTAAAAAACCGCTCGACCGATTTCGATAAAATTTAAATGGGACCACATGGGAAGTATACCCTTCAACATAAAAAAATCCAAATCGGCTCAGGCGTCTTCGAGTAATCGGTGAACATACATAAAAAAAGATTCCAACGCATTAAGAACCTCCTCATTTTTGGAAGTCGGTTAATAAAAATGTAAACATACTTCAATGCACTAAAAAGTAAAAAATAATAAACTGAGGTGACTAATCAGATATTTTTGCTTTAATTGTAAACTGCACTTAAAACTTGCCAGATCGGAGAGTATGAAACATAAAAGAAATGAATAAACACATAGGAGTTCGTAAAGTACATATATCCTTTTAAAATTTCTAAATATCAAATATCTTTAAAATGTATAGTCCTACAAAATGGCTTTTGGTAAACTTTGAATT